CGAAGCTAGTTTTTTTGTATTTTTAGTAGAGACGGGGTTTTACTGTGTCCAGCCAGGATGGTCTCGATCTCCTGACCTTGTCGATCCGCCTGTCTCGCGGCCTCCCAAAGTACTGGGATTACAGGCTTGAGCCACCACGCCCGGCCTCCTTGAAACTTTGTGAGAATATTTTGAGGGTTGAGTTGGGAGTTGATTTTGTCCACAGAGATTTTGCGTTTGCTTTTGTACCCAACCCTGGCCCATAGTACAATTTTATTGTCATCACTTGGCATCAAGGAATTGCTTAGGCCGGGCGCATTGGCTCACGCCTGTAATCCTAACTTGCTGGGAGGCCGAGGTGGAGTGGATCACTTGAGGTCTCGTAGTTTTGAGACCAGCCTGGCCCAGCTATGGTGAAACCACTTTCTGTACAAAATACAAAAATTAGCTGGAAGCATGGTATTACCTGTAATCCCAGCTGCTTGAATCGCTGAGGCGCAGCTGATTGAACCTGGGAGGTAAGGTTGCAGTGAGCCGAGATCGCACCACTGCATTCGGTATGGGTGACAGAGCGAGACCTCTTCAAAACCAAAAAGAATTTTAATTTCATATTACCATTTTTAACCATGACTTTTTGTAATGTTTTTTTGCATTTAAATTTTTTTCCCATTTTTTTATTCCTGAATTCAACCTTAATTGCACTGTAGTCAGAAGTACTTACATGAGTCAATATGGAGACCAATTTCTGGAAATGTGTTAAGACTCAGTTCATGCACTGGTGCATTGTCAGTGTTTTTGCGGGGATGGGGATTCACGTGTTCTTGTGCTTTGTTTTTGGTACTCAGTGCAGAATTCTCACATGTTCAACATATCATGCTTGGTAATTTGTTAAAGATCCACCTCTGTATCCTTTCATATTTTCTGCGTTGCTTACAAACCTCTCAGTTAATTAAAAAAGGGTGTATTGGAAATCTCTCCACAATCAATAAAAAGGTGCAGTGGCTCACGCCTATAATCGCTTTGCTGGAGGGCTGGGGCACCAAAGGGATCATGGCAGAAGTGATTCAAGACCAGCCTGGCCAGGTGGTGAAACCCTGTCTCTAGTAAAAATACAAAATTAGACAGGCGCGGTGGTAGGCGCCTGTAATCCCAGCTACTTGGAGGCTGAGGGCAGGAGAATCACTTGAACTCGGAGGCAGAGGTTTTGCAGTGAGCCGAGATGGGTACCACCGCCCCTCCAGCCTGGGTGACAGAGTGAGACTCAAAAAAAAAAAAAAAAAAAAAAAAAAAAAACTCCCACAATCAAGATGAAGCCTAACCTTTTTGTATTTTCTCAATTTTTACTTTACATATTTAGAGTTTATTTTACTGGATGCTTACAAATTTAGAATTGTTAAATCTTTTTGAGTGAATGGTACATTTTATTATGTAGTAATCCTGTTTATTCCCAATAATATTTTCACCTTGAAGTCTATTTTTTCCAGTGCTAAGACCCGAAAGCTTTCTATTCGTGAATACTTGCCTGATTTTTCATTTCTTAGTTTTTACTTCAACTTTTTGTGTCTTCATGTTTTTTTAGATTACTTTTTATTTTAAAAGGGTTGAAATTTACTTTTTCTTTGTTTACATTCCTTATAATTACTGATGTATTTGGATTTTTTTTTTTTTTTGAGACGGAGTTCTCTCTCTCTGTTGCCCAGGCTGAGTCTGTTGGTGCAATCACACAGCTACCTCACCACAGCCTCAACCCCTGAGCTCAAGCAATCTGCATACCTCAGCCTCCTGAGTATGGAAAATAAAAGAGCATGATCCACCTCTCTTGGCCTGTTTGAATTTTTTTAACCAGCTTATTTTGTTCTATTTGTCTCACTTTTCCTGTCTTCTGTGGCCTGTTTTATTTTACATTGTTTCAGATTTGAGGTTTTAAAAAAATCTGATGCCCGTACTTAGTTTGATTCCACTCATTTGGAAGTTGAAAGCACAGACTCTGGAGCCAGACTTCCTCCATTCAAATCCTGGCTCTGCCATTTAATACCTGTATGACTTTTGGCAATTTACTTAACCTCTCTGGTCCTCATTGGCAAATATATACGCTATTCACAGCATTCTAAATGAGCTTATATAGTAAATGTGTAAGGCAGTAAAATAGCACACCTTGAAAGCATGATGTGTAAGCTATTTTTTTTTTTTCTGTTCATTTTGTTCTTATTATTGGGATTTCATCATGCGTAGTTTTTTTAAGAGTCAGGTTTGTTTGTCACCCAGGCTGGAGTGCAGTGGCTTAACCACAGCTCATTTGCAGCACTGACTTTCTGGGCATGGGTGATCTCTCCCTGCGCGCTTAGCCTCGAGTACCTGAGGCTGAGCCACGTGCCATCCCCAACCCGGCTCTTTTTTTTTGAGACAGTGTCCCAAAGAAGCTGTTTCCCAGGCTAGTCTTGAACTCCTGGGCTCTGGTAATCTTCAGCCTTATCCCAAAGTGTTGGGATTATAGCCATGAACCACCATGCCTGGCTTGTAGAACTATGCTTTTTTTTTCCCCCTGAGACGGGGGTCTCGCTCTGTGCCAGGCTGGAATGCAGTGCTGGTTTGACTCACTGCAACCTCCCTGTCTCCGGGTTTAAGCAATTCTTCTGCCTCAGCCTCTAAGTAGCTGGGAATTCAAGTGATGCACTACCATGCCTGGCTTATTTTGTATTTTTAGTAAAGTCGGGGTTTTGCCATGTTGACCAGGCTGGTCTTGAACTCCCTGATGACCTCAGGTGATCCACCTGCCTCAGACTCCCAAAGTGCTGAGATTACAGGCATGTGCCACCGCACCTGCCCATAGAACTTTTAAAATTTACCATCCATGGCACTCATTGCACCTGACTCAGATTTTTTAGAAAACCTCATCACTTCTAGGAATAAATTTTAACTGTTCCATCTTGAATACAGTTTGCTCCCTGTTCTTTCAGTATTACTTTCAGGAAGACAAATGGGTCTTTGACTTTCTTTACTTATTTGACTCTTAACCTTGCTTTTGCATTTCCACAATTATTAAGAAACCATTCCAGTGAGGTTTTGATGTTGATTTCTTTCTCTCTCTTTTTCTCATGTGAAATTTATATGTTGAAGAAACTGGATCATCTGTCATTTAACATTTAGCTCCCCCTCCTTTATTTCTTTCTTTGCTATAAACAGACTATGTGATATTAGTATTGTGTATTTATTTCATCCGAAGCACATATCTGGTTGTTTCTGTTTTTGTGATGTTAGTAGCCATTCCTCATCTCATCCCCTAAAAATTGTTAGGTAATTTTAAAATTGTCATATATGAACACACCACAGATTTAAAAAATATTTCATGTGATTTATTGTAATTACATTATAATGATTACAGTTATTATTCTCGAATTCATGCTCAACTTATCCCATCTTTGGCCAATGGGACCCTCCTCACAATGGTTCCTGAGTCTTTTTTTGACAGCCTAGGGGTCTTGAATAAGCTTCTTTGCTTTTCTAATATACCAGCTTTCCATGCTCATAATGCACCTTTCTGTCCTAATCCCAAGATGCTCAAGGGAGCCTAGGTTCTGTGTAGTAAAAAAGAGTAATGGTATTTTAGAGACAGTAATCTGTCATTAGCGTGTTCACGCATTGCTGCTGGATTGGTTGTTTTCTAAAGGCTTCAATGGATGAAGATGGAAAGTATTTCTAAAAATCATGATTGCACTCTTATACTGCCAATTCAAATTCATTCATTGAATTTTAAGTTTCATTGATTTATTTTTAATTTTTAGTGCCCATTTTGTGTCTTTACAAAAACTTGCTTTAGCCTTTTTGCTAATGAGATATTACTTTCTCACTTTAGAAAAGTAAACTTTGGAGTTTTAGGATAGTTTTTAGACTTACAGAAAAGTTGTCAGGTAAGTACAGAGATTTCCCATATACATCACATGTAGTTTCTCATTAACATTGTATGTTTGTACATTTGTCATAATTAATTAATTAATGTTGATCCTATTCAATGATAACATCATTGAAGGAATGTGGTTATTATTTACCTTTCCTATGGTGCTGAGATCTATTATTAATGGAAACCCCTACTTTGCAGATTTCTTTACTTTTCTTTTTTTTTTTTTTTTTTTTTTTTTTTTGAGACAGATTCTGGCTTTTGTTGCCCATGCTGGAGTGCAATGGTGCCGGTCTTGGCTCAGTACAGCCTCAGCCTCCCGGAGCTCAAGCCGATTCTCCTGTCTCAGCCTCCCGAGTAGCTGACATTACAGGCATGGGCCACCACGCCTGGCTAATTTTTGTATTTTTAGTAGGGAACCGGGGTTTCACCATGTTAGCCAGGATGGTCTCGATCTCCTGACCTCGTGATCCGCCCAGCTCAGCCTCCCAAAGTGCTGGGATTACAGGCATGAGCCACCACACCCAGCCTCCTTAGCTTTTACCCTAATGTCCTTTTTCCTATTCTAGGATCTCCACTAGGAGAACACATTGCATTGAGTCATTATGTTTCCCTTGGCTCTTTGACAGCTTTTTAGGCTTTCCTTGTTTGTGATTATCTCAATAGTTTTGGAGAGTACTGGCCAGGTATTTCGTAGATTATCTCTCATTTTGGGATTTGTCTGGTGTTTTTCCAGTGATTAGACTGGAGTTCAGTATTTTAGAAGGAGAGATCCACAGAAATAAAATGTTGTTCTCATCACATCATATAAGGGTACATACTATCACCATGTATGTACACTATCTTTTTTTTTTTTTTTTTTTAAAGACAGGGTCTTGCTCTGTCGCCCAGGCTGGAGTATAGTGGCACAATCATAGCTCACTGCAACCTTGAACTCCTGAGCTAAAAGCAATCTTCCTCTCTCAGACTCCCAAAGTGCTGGGATTACAGGCATGAGCCACCACGCCCAACACATTTTTACTTCTTTAGGACATTATTTTCAGTTTGTCTCCCTCTTCTACCATAGATGTTTTTATTTCTACTCAACAAGGAAATGCTATGTTTTTGCTTTCTGGTTATTTTTCAGACTCGGAGTTTAGATGTAAGACCAAAGATTCATGTTTCCCAAAAGAAATTTATGAAGTAACATCATCTCCCAGTGGGTGAGAATGGAAAAATGTCACAGCCTTGTAGGCTCCCAGTGTCAGAGATGACTGGGAATGCAAGAGACCAGTTTCAGCACCAAGATATAAATCCAAAAGAGACGATATTTGGAAAAGAAAAGTAATGACTTACGAGAAAACGCCAACTTTCTGCCTACAGACATCTCTCACTCTGCATCATCAGATTAGTCCTGGGGAGAAACTGTATAAATCCATAGAATGTATGGCTTTTAGGGGAGTAGCTCAGAACACACAACAGCAAGAAACCCATACTGGTGAAAAACTCTATAAATGTAAGGAGTGTGGGAGCCTTTTTGTCATTTTTTCTATTTTGTTAAACATCAGAGGAATTCATAGGGAAAAGCCCTATGCATGTAAGAATAGCATGGAAAAGCTTTTTATTTCTGGCTCACATCTTATTCAACACCAGAAAATATATATAGATGAGGGAACCTCAGGTGTCAGGAATCTGTGAGAGCCTTTTAGACCATCTACGCACCTTATTCAACATCGGAGAATTCCTTTTGGTGACAAACCTTATGAATGTAAGGAGAAATGTGGGAAATCTTTTACTTCTGGCTCAACACTAAATCCCAGCATGTCAGCAGATTCACACTGGTGAGAAACCCTATCATTGTAAGCAATGTGGAAAATCTTTTACTGTTGGCTCAACACTAATTAAGAGCTGTGAATTCACACTGGTGAAAGCCATATGATTGTAAGGAATGTGGAAAATCTTTTTGCTTCAGCTCAGCACTAATTAGACATCCGTGGGAATTCACACTGGTGAGAAACCTATGACTGTGGGAATGTGGAAAATCTTTTACTTTTCCTCAGCACTAATTCGACATCAGCGAATTCACACTGAGTGAGAAACCCTATGATTATGGGAATGCGAAAATCTTTCACTGCTCGGGGTTAAATTGGACACCAGGTAATTCACACTGGTGAGAAACCTTATGATTGTAAGGAGAAATGTGGAAATCTTTACTGCTGGCTCAGCATAATTCCAGCATCAGCGAATTCACACTGGTGAGAAACCCTATGATTGTAAAGAGTGTGGGAAATCTTTTGCTTTACAAGCTCAGCACTACTTCAACACGTGGCCAATTCACACACGGTGAGAAACCTATTGTTATAAGGAATGTGGGAAAGATCTTTTTTTTAAGCTCCACAACCGCCCTTGTCGACGCAAAAGCGGGAATTCACTGGTGAGAAACCCTATGATTATAAGAGATAGCCCAAAATCTTTTGCTTCTGGCTCAGCACTAGCACAAGCATCAGCCTGAATTCACACTGGTGAGAAACCTGTCATTGTAAGGAATGTGGAAAATCTTTTACTTTTTCAGGAGCTAATTGGACATCAGGCAGTTCACACTGGTGAGAAACCCTATGATTGTAAGGAATGTGGAAAATCTTTTACTTCTAGCTCCTTCAGCACTAATTCAACATCCAGCGAATTCACTGGTGAGAAACCCTATCACTGTAAGGAATGTGGAATCTTTTACTGTTAGCTCAACATTAATTCAAGCATCAGCAAATTCACACTGGTGAGAAACCCTATGATTTGTAGGAATGGCCGGGAGGCCTTTGGAGCTTGCGTTTACGACTTACTCAACATCAACAAATCCATACAGGTGAGAAACCGTATCAATGTCAGGTAGCCAGCCCGGGGAAAGCCTTTATCAGTGTCTCAGGTACTCACCCCAACATCACCAAAATTCACACTGGTGAAACCCTATACAGATGTCCGGAATGTGGGAAGGCCTTTGGAGCAGGCGTGCGTACCTTAATCAACATCCAGAGGAGGTGTCATACTGGTGAAACCTTATGAATGTAAGGAGAAATGTGGGAAATCTTTTACTTTCTGCTCAGGACTAATTCAACATCAGCAAAATCACACTGGTGAGAAACCCTGTGATTGTAAGGAAAGTGGGAAATCTTTTACTTCTCACTCAACACTAATTCAACATCAACAAATTCACACTGGTGAGGAAACCCTATGATTATGAGGAATGTGGAAAATCTTTACTTCTCACTCCCACTAATTCAACATCCTTAGTATTACACACTGGTGAGAAGCTCTATACAGTTATGAGGAATGTGGGGAAATCTTTTTGCTTCTTATTCAACACTAATTCAACATCAGCGAATTCACACTGGTGAAAACCCTATCATTGTAAGGGAATGTGGGAAATCTTTTTTTACTCTCAGCTCAGCACTAATTCAACACATGGCCAATTCACCGCGGGTGGCAGCTACAGTTGTAAAGAATGTAGGAAATCTTTTTACTTGTCACTCAACACTAATTGAACATCAGCGAATTCACACTGGTGAGAAACCCTATCATTGTAAGGAATGTGGAAAATCTTTTACTTTTAGCTCAGCAATAATTCAGCATCAAGCGAATTCACACTGGTGAGAAACCCTATGATTGTAGGAGGAAATGCGGGAAGGCCTTTGGAAGCGTCGTTCAAAAACTTACTCAACATCAACGAATCCATACTGGTGAGAAACCTTATCAATGTCATGAATGTGGGGAAAGCCTTTGTCCTTTCTCCAGGACTCACAAAACATCACCAGTATTCACACTGGCGAAAACCTATGAATGTAAGACATGTGGGAAGTCCTTCAGACAGCGTACACACCTTACTCTACATCAGAGAATTCATACGGTGACAGACCCTTGAATGTAATCATTAGAATCTTTTCTCTGGCATTCAGGAACTAAATTAGAACATCATTCTGAAGGAACTCTACACACTAGCAGAACTCACCACATTTGTCTTTGCATAATGGTTGAAGGGTGCTTGACATCATCCTTACCATTTTAAGCCCACTACTCACAAAACGAATCTTTTTTCCACTGGCAGAGAGAACTTTATCAATATGTCCAGAAATAGCAGAAGCTTTTTCCCTTTATCTGCCACCTCAGGATTTCAGCCAGTCGCCAGAGCCTTCCACTGCTAGAGAAACCCTATGAATGTAAGACATGGCTAGGAAGGCCTTTAGACAACACACAGCTTACTCGACATCGGAGGAATTCATGACCTAATGATGAATGTAGGGAAACCGTTCTCATGCCATTTGTCATGGATCATCAGCAGATTCCATATGTGGGTCAAATACAATGGATGTGAGAATTCCTTTTACTTCATATTCACTTTTTCCAGAATTAGGACCTTTTTTTTTTTTGTTTTGAGACGGAGTCTCACTGTCACCAGGCTGCAGTGCAGTGGCACTATATTGGCTCACCACAAGCTCCGCCTCCTGGGTTCATGCCATTCTCCTGCCTCAGCCTCCCAAGTAGCTGGGACTACAGGCATCCACCACCATGCCCAGCTAATTTTTTTGTTTTTCTATTTTTAGTAGAGACAGAGTTTCACTGTGTTAGCCAGAATGGTCTTGATCTCCTGACCTCGTGATCCGCCCACCAAAATTAGGACATTTAATACTAAAAGAAATTGATAATGAGTGTAGATGAGTTTTCTATCATGATTCAAAGCTTGTTGAAGTTATACAAATTCATATTAGAGAATGTGGTCAATGACAAAAGACAACCATTTACTACCTATGTGACATTAGGCTAATTATGTAAATTCTCTGTACCAAAATTACTAATTGATAATATGTTGATGGTAATAGTTGTTTTTTTGTCTTTTGTTTTGTTTTGAGACAAGTCTTGCTCTGTTGCCCAGGCTGGAGTGCAGTGGCACTATCTTGGTTCACTGCAACCTCTGCCTCCCGGGTCCAAGTTATTCTCCTGCCTCAGCCTCCTGAGTAGCTGAGATTACAGGCATGTGCCACCATGCTGGGCTAATTTTGTATTTTTAGTAGAGACAGGGTTTCATTGTGTTGGTCAGGGGGTGGTCTCAAACTCCTGACCTTGTGATTCATCTGCCTCGGCCTCCCAAAGTGCTGGGATTACAGGCGTGAGCCACTGTGCCCAACTAGTAGCCAAGATTTTTAATAATAAATAAGTGTGACTACATTTTTAGAGTGTTTGACTACTGGCTTCTTTTTAAGCCTCACTTCCCTGTCTACTTCCCTGTCTACTTTAGCCCATATCTGCAAAGGTCGCTAGAGGCCCTTGCTGGAAAGAAAGCATAAACAAAACTAAAGTCTGTGTACACCTTCTCCTTTGGATCCACTGGGCAATTTATATTAGAAATTCCAAGCTGGGCGAGGTGGCTCACACCTGTAATGCCAGGACTTTCAGAGGCTGAGGTGGGTGGATCACCTGAGGTTAAGAGTTCAAGACCAGCCTGGCCAACATGTTGAAACCCTATCTATCTCTACTAAAAATACAAAATTGGCCAGACATGGTGAGGCGTATATCCGTAATCCCAGCCAGCTATTCAGGAGGCAAGGCTGGAGGAGTCGCTTGAACTCGGGAGCAGATGTTGCGGTAGGCTAGTCAGTGGAGCAGTCAGAACACACAGAGTGTTTATCAATTAAGTTTGTAGTCAGAACACACACCATGTTTATCAGTTATGTTTGCTGTCTTATATGGACACAGTCTGTGATGCCCGAAAACAAGTAGTGGTGCCAAAAAAGATAATCATGAGCCACCATAACAGATAAAATGACAATGAGAAAGTTGAAATATTGTTGGGATCATCCAAATATGAACATGCTATTGGATAAATGGAGCCAATGAACTTGTTCACTGCATGGTTATGTCAGAGGCATGTAAACCAGAACAACTTCTTGAATAGGAGCTGTGTAAAATAACACTGAAACCTACTGAGCTGCATTCTAGACAGTTAAGGCATTCCTAAGTCATAAAATGAGATAGAGTCAGCATAAGATACAAGTCATAAGGACCTTGCTGATAACATCTTGCAGTAAAAAGAAATCGGCCAAATCCAAGAGATGGTGACAGGGGTGATCTCTGGTCATCCTCACTCTTATACTCCCAGCAGCACCATGACAACCAGCTAAGTTTTTTATTTTTATTTCAGTAGAGTTGGAGTTTCCTTTTGTTACCCAGGCTGGTCTTGAATTCCTGTCCTCAAGAAGCAATCTT